TATAACCTCAAATATCTTAAGTCAATTACAAACTTTAAACGCCAATACATTTCTTATACATATTATATAATAATTCTTAGAAGCAATTTAGAAANATACGTGATATTGTGACATAATTTAGGCATACTTTGCAAATTAACTTGAAACATTTAGAAATTTCTCATTTCAGCATCTGAAGTAATCAAACGCAGCGTACTTTNCAAATTAACTTGCAAGAAACATATTTAAATTTTCTATTCAATCCTATCTTGCCGCTTCTCAGCTCCTAAGTAATCGAAACGCAAAGGCATTGAAAATACAATATGATTATCAGAAGCAGATATTATTTCTTTAAAAAAAACATTGCTAATTTATTCAAATACAATACAAGCTCAATTATTATTATTGCTTATTATAAAACCTATAGCACTTTTTCCGCGTTTCAATAAAATTCGAACCCTCTGTTGAGTATATTATTGAATATAACAAAAAATAAAATAGGATCATTCAATAATAGAAATGTTTATTCTCAGTCAAAATCAGTGGCGTACAGTGGCAACAAAACTATTATTTATAATTAATGACCCACCGATGGGTCATGCCGTCGTCAATGTGTTAATAATGTTGATTGAATTTATAAATTTAGTTATTGTTAAATAGATGTTACTATGGTGATGATCAATGTCATCAGTAATTTGATCAACTTTTCTGAATGGTGATTAGAGGGAATCGCGTGCGCGAAATTAATCATCTGATGAATGTCGATCATCCGGGGATTCGGTTAATTAGCGGTGGGAATGCGCGATTCATTTGTTTTTTTTTTTTTTGTTCTTGTTGTTGTTGTTGTTCGTGTTCGGTGGGAAAGAAAGCGCGTGACGCGAACATCGCTAATTCGTTGTGCAAACGAATGCACAGTTTTCGAGAACAATCTTTATAGTCTCTCGATTTTCAATGCGAAAGAATCGCTCAGAATTTCCGCTTCCTCTTTGATGTTGACAGAATGCTGCTGGTCTGGTGGTACCTGGTGGCCGCCTTCTCCGTCACCGACGCGCTCCTCCTTCAACCGATGACCGCCGCAGCCGTCGCCAAGGAGACCTGGCAAAAGCCCGGCTGTCACAAGATCGGTAAAGCCATGGCAACCGCTTCTATATTGTTATTGTTTACATTGACGTGTTTTTGTTGTTGTTGTTGCTATGATCATCAGGACACACCAGGAAGATCAGCATACCGAACTGCATCGAAATCAAGATTACGACGAACGCGTGTCGCGGTTACTGCGAGAGTTGGGCCGTCCCGTCGTCGACGAACATCTCCTGGACGCAACCCGTGACCTCGGTCGGTGAATGCTGCAACATCATGGACAGCGAACTGCAGGAGGTGCAGGTGTTCTGCGTCGAAGGCGTCCGCACCCTCACCTTTAAAAGCGCCATCTCTTGTTCATGCTACCATTGCAGAAAGTATTAAACAAAATGAAAGAATTATCCGAAGAAAACAAAAAAATAACGACAAAACAACAAAATGAAGAACGAACAAACGGTTCATTTTCCAGAGTAAATTATTGTTTTTTTTTTGAATTGAAAACTCGTAGGCTTTGCTGGTAACCATGGATACAAAATAGATAAATTAGAGAGACATGACAGGTCACGGTGTTGTTAGGGAAACTTGTAAATTGAGGTTAATTTTATTATTATTATTATTTATACATAAATAAAACAAAAAAGCAAATTCTAATTATTATATAAATATATATTTATTAAAAATCTGTAAATAAATTCTATGCTGACTGACGTAATAATATAACCATTATGATGTGTGAGTGCTGTACATTTCATATGTATGCGAGATATATAAATATATTTATTTCTATTGTATTTTAACTTCTTTTTTCCAATTTTCCTACATTTCCAACTCGTTTTTACCTTCTCATTAATTAATTTACGAATTAATTTAGTGTCTTCACATTTCATTGATTTTCTGGAAAACTATAATATATTACTGTGGTTTTAGCCGTTTGGCTGTAACTCGCGCTCAAA